AGAATCTGAAACAGGCTCCAGGCTCTGAGCTGTCAGCGCAGAGCCCAACGCGGAGCTCGAACTCACAGACCGCGAGATCATGACCTGAGCCAAAGTCAGATGCTTAACCGAGACACCCAGGTGCCCCTTTCAAAATGGCTTTTTTAAAAAATGTTTGTTTTTTAGAGAGGGAGGGAGGGAGGGAGGGAGAGGATCTGAAGCAGGTTCTACTGACAGCATCCAGCTGGATGCAGGGCTTGAACTCATGAACCGTGAGGTCATGACCTGAGTCAAAGTGGTCTGGTTAACCAACTGAGCCACCCAGGCGCTCCTCAAAAATGGTTTTAAATAGTTGAAGTCTTTTGTCCCAAATCTTTTGCAAAACCCTGATGTTTACAACTGATAAATCTGTTTTGCTCTGGTTGAATTAATAGAGGACTAATCAGTTAAACACCCACTTAACTTCCTCTTCCCTAAGATCCCACTTAAGAACCAAGAAACACAGTTTGGATGCTGCGGGTCTGGTCAGTTCAGGGAGATGTAACTGACTCATGCAAAATCACATGGAGACCTGATGACAGATGTGAGACCAGGATGAGGGTTTCCTGACTGTTGAGTGGCCCCCTCTCTATTAGACCAGGGGTTCTCAGTTCTGGCTTGTCTTTAGAATCCCCTGGGGAGCTTTATAAAAGTTCAGTGGTAGGGGCCCGCCTTCAGAGATACTGGTCCCAGGTTAGTGCCTGCATCAAGGGCTAGATTTATTCCGTCTTTAGCAAGAAATAAACTCTTGGTGGAAAAAATATGTCTTATAAGTTTTAGCTGTGCAAATTATTAATTGCATTTTAAAAATGAGCTGTACCAGAGTTTCTACAACTGCTGTGCAAAGGTGTTCTTGAAAGCATGGTGTCGAGTGCTTCTGGGCCCTGCTTCAGAAAAGCCCCGAATCAGGGTTTCTCTTGACTTGCTTAAAAATTGCCCAGATATGTGTCAACTGGTTGCTGTTGCAACGCCTTCAGAATGCTTTGCCTTGTTGAAGGGAATGGCTGGATTACTTGTCAGAAATATTTCATAGTTGCTTTTTAAAAACAGTAGTAGCATTGGGGCCCCTGGGCAGCTCAGTTGGCTAAGCGTCCGACTTTGGCTCAGGTCATGATTTCACAGTTCATGGGTTCGAGCCCCGTGTCGGGCTCTGTGCTGACAGTTCAGAGCCTGGAGCCTGCTTCAGGTTCTGTGTCTCCATCTCTCTCTGCCCCTCCCCAGCTCACTGTCTGTCTCTCTCAAAAATAAATATGAAAAAAAAAATAGCATCATTATTTCACGGGGTTTGATCTTCTTTGATTCAAATTATGACTCTAGAAACACAATATGTTGGGTGTAACAGAATCTGTACCCGGACACGGACACAGTCATTCCTATTTCATCCCTCACTGGCTCCAGCCACAGCTTCCTTAAAGATGTTTGCTGAGTTTCCATTTGAATTGGGTGCAGAAGGACTTTGTGTGCGTGTTTTTCCCAGGCAGCCTCAGGACCTTTGGAGAATTAGATGCGATAAGCAAGAAATACTTTTCTTTTGCCACTTTCCCCTAGGTGTGAGGATATAATATGGCAATATGTACTTTACTAATGCAGCAGATGATGAGAGCTAGTGGGGAGTTTAATAACTGCTATCATTGAGAAGTAATGATGAGCATAAACAATAATCCAGGATGTGTGGAATGACTGTGCATTATTTCTGTTGGTGACCAGTCACAGGAACTGCTCACCCCGCAGTGCTTTGTTGCCTCGCACTCATAATAAGAGGAAATGCTACATTGCAGAGGCTTGTGAAAATACAGATTCATAGACTGACTCCATTCTAGCTACAGATGCCCTAAATTAAGAACATTTTCCAAGAGGTTCAGTTTTATTCTTGGTAGATAGCCATTTCGCCTACTTGTAATTCTGTGTGCGTGTCTGTGTGTGTGTGTGCGCGCGCGCGCATGTGCACGTGCACCCGCCTTCCTTATCTCACACTCCTCCTTCCTGCCACCCATGCCCCAACTCCCAGGATACTAGATAACACATACATCCTTTCACCTCTGTGTTCCCAGCTCCTGTTACAGAAACGAGCAACCGCGGCTTATCAAACTGTCACGAAGCCCACATGACACAGAGCCCAGAAGGCAGGCTGTTCAGGGCCCGTGCACCATCCCAAGCGAGACCCCAAGGGCTCGGGCTCCTTTAGACTTCCTGTCCCCCCACGCTGAGCTACAGCCTTCAGCCGTTGTTGCAAGAGGGTTATTCTGCCTCCCGGTGTTGCTTCTGTGACCCAGGCAGGAAGAAAGGTGTAGGGGTGAGGCAAAAGGTCAGGCCACTTGAGTCATCCCTTTCATCAGGAAAATAATAGCTTTCCCAGAAGCTCCACCCAGGAGGCTTCCACTGGTAGTTCACTGGACAGACAGCACAGGGTCATACAGGCACACCGAGCTGCAAGGGAGTCCGGGCTGGTGAGGAGCTATGGCAGATACATGGCTGCCCCAGATAGAATCCATAGTGAGGAAGAAGGGAGAGTAGACACCAGGTGAGCATATACCAGAGGCAGCCACGTGACCTCAGCCTCCTGGTATTTTCCTCGACTGGCTGCCATATCAGCTCTCACTCCATCCACATTCTTCTTGGCCTGTCTTCAGGGCCTGACTTCTTCCCCCGCTCCCCCAGTTCCCATGAATCTGTACTTCTTGAATATTGGACTTTTGGAGTTAGCAGGGGCACTGGACTCTTCTAGGAGAGCTTCTCAAATTGGTGAAGAACAGAAGGTCAGAAAATGACTTCCCCAAGACCATACTGTTCTGGTAGTGGTAGAAGTGACACATGAGTGAGATGTATTACTTAGTTGCTCACATGGCATAAATTACCCTTTAACCTTGCTAAATCCCCACTCCCTGTAAGGTAGCTATCACCTGCCCTTATTAGGCAACCATGGCCCAAGGATGGTAAGTGACAGGGATGGAGTGACACAGCCAGTGACCTTGCTCTGTCTCCCACTCCCACTGATTGGCATTGAAGATGCCATGAGAGCTCAGATCTTGGAATCCTGACGTCCTTGTTCTTTCTACTGCCCTCTGAGTGGGAATCTCCTTCCTCTGTTGTATGGTGCTTTGAGTCATTCATTAGTTGTTACTGCTTGAATTTGAATGCCTTTTTTAGGGTGGTGTTCACTTTCTACTGACATCCTCACTCTCACTCTCCTAATCCTCACAGCACAGCTTGAGTGATCTTTTAGAAACATAAATCAAGTGCGTCATCCCAAGCTCGGTCGATGACTTTTTGTTACTCTTAGGCTAAAGTCAAGGGCCTTCATGTGTCCTGGGTCTAGCTGCCATGTCCCTGTCTGGCCTCATGTCTTTCCTGCTTCATTCCTCTATTCAGCCACATGGCCATGGTTCAGTCTCCTCTCGCTCTTCATGCACCTTCCTCCCACAAGGGCTTGGCACCTGTTCTTTCTACTACCTGGTGGTCTCTCCTCTCATTATCTTGTGAACTTCCAACAGTTCTTAGCCTAGCCCTCATGTCCGCAGGAAGCCTCCTCCAAAGTGCCCCTCTGCAAGCCGGCCTCATACACCAAGATCCAGAATTGGGATCTTATGTTTGTTTGGGTGATTATTTGATCAGTATCTGTCTTCCCCACTGGATTATGAAGATCAGCCCATGTCTATACCTCTTGCAGCCAAGTTTTTTCTCAATATCCACTCTGTGCCTGTCACATAGGGACACTCAGTATTTGTTGACTAAAAAACAACTATTTTATCTCAGCACATGGCACAGAATTGAATGAAGGCAAAATTTAAAGGGCACCATGGAGTAATGGCATATGTCACCATAACTATACAGTATCTTCCAGCATCGTTCCAGGATAGACCAAAAGAACTTTATTGAATCGCTTTAGCTTGAAAAATGATTCAATATTGCTGTTGTACAGATAAGCTTAGTAGTCACAAGTCGTCACAATAAAACCCTACCTGTTTTATTACCTATGCATCTTACCTATTGAATAAATTAAGCTCTTATTTTTCTATAAGATTTTTTAAAGTTTATTTTGAGAGACAGCATGAGTGGGGGAGGGGCAGAGAGCGAGGGAGAGAGAGAATCCCAAGCCAACTCCATGCTGTCAGTGCAGAGCCCAATATGGGGCTCGAACTCAGGAGCTATGAGATCCCGACCTGAGCCGAAACCAAGAGTCTGCTGCTTTTACTGACTGATCTTACAGTTAAGATCTTAGGTACATGTAATTCAAACACGGTTCTTAAAAACGTTCATCTGAAATGGTCTAGAAATAACTCAGACTAAATCCATGGTAGATGAGCGACCATGAGGAACGCGTAGCTTTGGGGTAGGGAGAGGAAACAAAGATGCTGTGTACCAGCTGGGAAACTGAGGGAGGCAGGAAATAAGGAGATTTGAATTGGCTGCATCTTAGACTCCGTGTCTAAGGAAGAAAACATGTTCTAAAAATATAGGATGTAGACCAAAGAAGATGGGGCAAAATTATCTGAGAGTGAAAAGGCTCTAAAGGGGAAAAACGGGTCTACTTATTTCCCCTTGAAGAACCTGCAAAAAGAACTTCACTTTCCCCGGAGCCTCGAGGCCAAGGTTGCTCTGGGGTTGCGAAGAGAGGTGAGGCTTACGGGTTAAAGCTGGACTCCTCAAGACTTCCCTCTTGGCGTGGAGTTCTCTCTCAAACCCCTGCGCATCAGATTAAAGTGGATCTTGCCCCAGAGTGGTAACCGAGCTTGCCTGGAAGCCCGGCCTCTCCCCCAGGCCGAGAGGCAGGAACCCCTTCACCCCTTGGGCGGCGGGTAGCAGCAGTGACAAGTCCGGGACCACTTCCCTGAGTACCGTTGCCATGTTTCGACCCCCCCACCGTCGGCCAACCCAAGACAGAGGACCGAGGTGACGCGCTGAGCGCCAGGCCTTGCCGCACCAGTGTGAGCCTGGGGCGGTGGCCACTGCCGTTCTCACTCCCTGTCGCCTCCCTCCCCCAGGAATCAGAGGGCGTTTCCTGTCACTACTGGTCGCTGTTTGACGGTCACGCGGGGTCTGGGGCTGCCGTGGTGGCCTCCCGCCTGCTGCAGCACCACGTCACGGAGCAGCTGCAGGACATCGTGGAGATCCTGAAGAACTCAGCGGTCCTGCCGCCCACCTGCCTGGGCGAGGAGCCCGAGAACACGCCCGCCAACAGCCGGACTCTGACCCGCGCAGCCTCGCTCCGCGGAGGCGTGGGGGCCCCGGGCTCCCCCAGCACCCCGCCCACGCGCTTCTTTACGGAGAAGAAGATTCCGCACGAGTGCCTGGTCATCGGGGCTCTTGAAAGTGCGTTCAAGGAAATGGTAGGTATCGCGAGGGGCCCGGGGCGGCAGGGGGCGGGGGTGGAGGGAGAGAGAGAATCCCAAGCCTTCAACCAAAGCCTTGTTTCTTGGAAGCTTCCCTACGACGGGTCTCTGACCTGTCCTCTTGTTGTGGGACGCCGCTTGGGTCATCTCCGTTCGATACTCCATTCCCAACAGAGGTTTGGCACAAGGACAGAGTTCCTTGCATTGAGTGCTGGCAAAAATGAGAACGATGGAAGGAGGGATAGCTACGAGCTAACAGGCTTTTTAAATGTACCTACGATTGCTTCTCTTTCTGCAGACTCCCTGATGCCAGCTGGTGGTACAATGCCACTTAACTGAAATGTGAGCCTGGTTGCTGTCTTATACATGTGTAGGAATCACAGGTGTTTGGGGAAACAGCTTTTAGTAAAGGGCTCCAAAGTACCTTTCTTGTACCAATCTGATCAGAGGACAGTTCTTTTACCGTGATTGGCCATGTGGTTCTTAATGCTTAAAAAAAAAAAAAAAAACTGCTGGAGGGGAATCAGGGGGTCACTATCTGAGAATTGCGTGTTTTACTGGGGAACATGGATTGTTTGTACATTTAAATTGGGACGTGTCTGATCAAAGAGTTTAGCCCCCTTCCCTCCCAGCCTCCGTCCTGGGAACACACAAAGGGAAAGCGCACAAAGGGAGAGTGCGCAGCTGCCCTCACAGTGTCCCCTGTTGTCCCTCCGCCTGGTGAGGGGCCACCCCTCGGTGCCACCCCCTTCCCTTTCTGAGCTCACTTTCTGCTGAGGCCGTTATTGTGGCTCCAGAGATTTTTCTTTCCTGAGCAACAGCCTGCGTGCAAGTAAAGAGCAAGGAATATTGAGAGATGTTCTAAAGACGGGAGGAGAGCGAGCGTGCCGTATTATCTTAAAACCCCAGAGAGTCAAGTGATGACCAGCTGTTCAGTGAAGCAGGAACAGGTTAGGAGCAGCTCCGCAGAACGGAGCATGTGACACAGCACAGTCCAGGATCAGTCTGTGTGCGAAGGAGGGGAGAAACGTAAATAATGTTGCACAGCACCACCCATCTGATTTGTTTTCAAGGCAAAATGCTTCCTGTCTTCGCACCTCTTGTTTGCACCCTGTCCTCACTTTAACCCGTCCCTTCTTTGGTCAGCGTGCATCTCTCCTTGTTGTGCAGATGTTTACCCTTTGATTAGCAGGTGGCTTAAAATGCATCTCTTTGTCAGGAGTATATGGTAGCCTTCGATCCCAAGAAAATCACCGGGAAGCTGGAAAAGGCTATTCAGGGAAAAAGGAATCAAGGTAGTAAAATTGACTCCTACGCGGCTCTGTATAAAATCTCCCTCACCAGCTGTCACAGAAGCTGTCTAGAGACCTCGATGTTCAGAACGCTAAATATTTAATTGAGGTAAAAAATGTGACAGTAGGTTACTCTCTTAATGGGAGGAAAAAAAATCCGCTTACGTGACAGAAGTGAAAAACAAAAAGACACGTGGGGTTCTTCATTTCCTTCTGTAATTGCTTATGCCATGGGGCATCTTTTACTTGCAACTGCTGTATTCCCACTTCTGTCCACTAGAGGCCAATGTCACTTTGAGGCAGGCCTCCCCACTGGTCTCCAGCTGCTTCTGCCCATTAATGCCTCAAGGGTGCTAGTAACCACTTTCCTGGAAATGAGAGGGTCATTCAGAAAAATACTTAGTCAAGGGCCTCATTCTTGTCTTTTAAATTTTTTCTGCTTTTAACTAGCCAGTTAAATTGCCTGCAATTTTTACCCTGGAAGCTTCGTTGTAGGCAAAAGATCATTTCACTTTCCCATGTCATTCAGTCAATAAATGAGTGATCAGAACTAACTCTATGCCAGGCCTAACTGGGAAAAGAGCACTGAACAAACTAGGCAAAGACAAGTGTTAGATGAGCAAAATAGAAGTGGGAAGGGCCTTGAGTGGAGAAATGCAGGGTGAACTAGGGGCCCTATAAAGAGATGAAGTGAAGGGGTCCCTTGGGGCAGTAATGCTGGGGATGGGGGCGAGGAGGAGTAATGCAGACAGAACACAGGAGGCCGGTTCCAGGGAAACTACATCAGAGAACCCACATGGGCCTAAGGCAACGAGCTGATGTCAAGGGTAGGAATGATGGATGTAAGGTGAATTGGAGAGGTGGTCGGGAACCTACCTGTGGAGGCCCTGGTGCGCCACGTTATGAATTTTTGGCTTTAAGTCATATCTGTTTTTTGGTTCCTCCCAGCATGCAGCTTCCTCTTCACACTTCAGTTTTTGTCATATTGTCTCTCTAGTCGTCAGTATGCCACAGGCCTACCTGGACTCTGCCCCACCTGCTTCACCTATTAAATGAGAAGACTCATCGTTCCTTGGTTCGCAGGGTGCTTGGTAGGGTTGGCCCTACCTTCTGTTCAGCTAGGGGCTGAGCCAGTTAGTGTCGGTTGGCCCAGAATAATTATTAATATACTGTCCCCTTTTAGTCTTAAAAGCGTCCCTGCTTGGATAATGTCTTATGTTTACCCTAATTACAGAGAGATGCTCTTGTTTTTTCTTTGCTTCATCAGGGACTTGAGGAAAAATGGACTCTAGTATCATAGAAACGTGCCTGACTTAAACATTAAGTTCCTTGCGGTGAGCTTCAGAACCCACAACACAGAAATTATACAGTGTACCTTCAGTTTAATGGCCTGGAAGGCCATTGCCAACTTGTATAAAATACTTGTTCCCTTGTCCCTTTTCAATATTACATTTTTAATGTCTTATTATTTTGTTTGTTTATATTTAATTTTCGAGAGAGGGAGACAAAGAATCCCAGGCAGGCTCTGTGCTCTGAGTACAGAGCCCGACCCGGGACTCCATCTCATGCATGGTGAGATCATGACCTGAGCTGAAATCAAGAGTCAGATGTTTGACTGACTGAGCCACCAGGTACTCCTCAACAGGATATTTTTGAGAGTCCGTGTTTGAGGGCAAACTGGTTTTTTTGAAGTGCCCAACGTGCAGCTGATTTCCTTATCTCGTTGGCCTGGCCTTGGTGGATTCTCCTCTGGCCTTGCAGAGTGGGGCACGCTGGGAATTTCCCGGCCATTCCTAAATTTTTCCCTCATGGTGGCCAGCTACTTTCTAGCTTTCCTAGTTCTCAGTATCCTTAAGGTATTTCAGGTTCTGTGCTGTGCTGATCCTCTGTAATAGAAAGAGTTGGTATTAAATAAGATTCAATTATTTCAGCTTTGTGGCTCTCTTACTTTCCCTCACACTTTTCATCCCTAAAAATTCCCCAGGCCCAGCATCTCAGCCTCACATGTGCCTCGCTGATGACACCTTTGCAGCTACCCTTCCTGAGATTCAGAAGTAACTTGCAATATCTTTACAGGCACAGCTTGCCTTTCACTTGGGGTTTTGCTTTATTTACAGCAGCTCAGCAACATAGAATCAAAGATCTTCGGTCTTTCTCTCTCTCTCTCTCTCTCTCTCTCTCTCTCTCTCTCTCTCTCTGCATTGTCCTTCTCAATTAGTAGTATTTATTGAGCTTCTATTTTATAGCTAGCATTCTTCTAGACACCATGGGAGTCTAGAAATAAAAGGTTAGACTATATGTCTGGGGGCATTTGTAGCCCCACATTATATGCATATAGAGATATATAACATCTCATTTATTTTGATGCTTTAAGTAACATTAAGTGGGTTGGTGACATGTTGATACCGATCTGAAAGAGAGGGTCAGGTAAAAGATTTAGAAACCCCAAGCCAGAATAAATAGTACTTCTTTAGAGGAAAACGTAGGTCCTCGTTCCAAAATACAGACTACCAGAAGTGAAAGATAAGTTCTGAACAAGCTATCGTCTCGATAACAGTTTCATCAAATACTGTAAGCTTCTTTGAGGGCACTGCTTTTCCTTTCCTCTTTGATCCTCTGGTTGCCTGACGCAGCATGCGGCTTGTGGTGAAGGTGACCTCTGACCCCTGGCCTCTAATACTTACTGTGCTTGCCTGCTGAGGCACGTTTACCCTTTGGCCCCCTTATTGTATCTCATCTTGGATTTTTCTTCACACTGAGAAGGCTGTGTAGTCCATTCTTCCTGTGTCCACTATGGAAAAATGAACCATGGTTCCCTTCTAAAGGACCAGAATCTCAGGAACTTTCTGACCGACTTCAATTCTGCTTCCCCACAGTGCTTTGTAACGATGCCTCCTTGAACAGCTGAGATTTGCCACCGATTGTGTTTAGGCTGTTGCTGGGCCCAGGATGATGGATGAGGATAAGATAAGGTCTTTTAGATCCTGGGGTCAGTCTTCTTGCTTCCGCAGCCTCCCCAAACAGGACTGCATGGCCAGCCTTTCAGACCCATGAGGGGAATCACTTCCATTGTTGGTGGAGTTGTGGGAGACCACTGCTCTCCTAAGTCAGCAGAGATGAGCCTTTTAGCCTGCCAGCTATAGAATTTGAGCTCTGGACAAAGGCAGGAGGAATTTCAAAAATTCTGTCCTCTTTCCTTTTCAGTGCCGGTATAGAAGTTTGGTTGTTAGGAAGGAAGAAAATGGCAATATTTTTGTTGTAGAACTACCATACATCCTCCTGTCACTGAGTTAATGATTGGAAATAGCACTCAGCTTGGATTTATTGGTAAAAACCTCATTTCACTATTGTGAAAAAGAGGATAAATGCAAAGCTTATTTATAGCTTATAAATCCTAGTGTTTTCAAATATTAGCATATTCATCGTAAGTTATGGACCTGCTTTCTTAAACACATGTCTTTCTGTGTTTGATAAGCTAGAGTTTTGTTTTGTCTTTGTTTTGGTAGAACAGGAAGTTCCTCCTAGAAGGATTGAGCATGTGATTCCACAAACAGCCAGCAGGTGGCAATATGAGGCAGTATTGGTTTTTTCCTTCCTCATTGCCTGGCTGACAGATTGGCTTGTTCCCAGAATAAATCAAAATCAGACCCAGATACTAAAACCATGCAGAATCTTATTATTTGTGACTGACACTATTAGCAATGTGCTCAGAGCCGTGTTTTAACCCATCTATGGGGGAGCTGCCAAGTCCTGTTGAAAGTACCCAACACTCGCTCCCTTCTGTTGTCTCATGTTGCTGTCCTTTTGCAACCTGAAATTGGTAGGAAACAAAGAATGATCCTGAAGCTGCATCATCCCTGGGACTTTCAAACCAAATTATAACCATCCCGAGCAATATATTTTCTTTCTTGCGGTTCTTTCCTGCTGAATTAGTCTCATTTCACACATCTCTGCTACTTCCCTTCATTGCCAGTATCCTTCCTTGAAACAAAAAGAAAATTAAATCCCAAGTCTTTAAAAATTGGATCCGTTCTTATGATTTAGAGATAAATCTGGCTTAAACGTAGTATTTAGACAGACACACAACACAGGATAAATCAGTCCTACTAAACAGAAGGGACTGTTTGAGCCATCTTGAGCAGTCTGCAGGACCCTTGACTGAGCAGGTAAAACAGTTATCTTGTTAATTGAATATTATGAGTGTGTAAATTGGTCTTTTAGATTACACTTGAAAAGGAATGATAGTATATGCATGTGTTTTGCTGGCAAGTTATTCTAGAGTTATGTCTTGGGTCTTGTTGACAGCTAAAATGGGGAAATACTCCAGACAGGTTCTTGTTTAGCACAAAGGAGTGGGCAGTAATTCCCAGGATTTCATTGATTTTTTTTTTTAAATACCCAAACATGAGGGTTTACAAAATAATAACTCTACATTTTTATGTATTTTTAATGTAGTATGTGGGAAGCTTAAGCTAATTGGAAAAGTTGAAGGTTTGAAGGGTAGTTAATTCAGCAGTAAATATCCTTATTGACTTCATTTATCATGTTTGATCCGGTAGTAAAAGAACCATGCAGATGGTCCTTTAATGTTCCTTTCAGTACTAAGATTTTGTGAAACATCTTTTAAAGAGGAGTAGGTGGTGTAGGAAAAAAATAAATGTGCTATTTTGGCTTCTAGGGAGGGGAGGGGAAGCAATTATTTTTAGAATATGTTCTAGTTACACCCAGTTTTAGAAGAAATAGAAGAGTGTATTTTAATGTCAGCGAATCCTTCAGGGGGATGAAGTCTGTGGAAACACATCTTTCAAATCCTAATCACTGTGATCGCAGAGAGCACACACATAATTCACGTGTGTGTGTGCACGCAAGGACATCTGCACGCACACACATGCACGTGTATATTATCACAGAAGCGGTGGGGGGTGATAGAAGGGTAAACCTATTAGAGTTTCCTGAACAAAACATGGCTAGACTTTAGTCCACTGTTTATGTGACAGTGTTGCCAAACTTAGCATTCCTTATGCTGGGGGAGCTACAGAGGGCACGTAGTTGAAATATAGGAAAAGATGAAAGAAAGGATGAAGTCAATTAGAACAAAATGCTGAATCGCACTATTAACGTAATAGCAAGGGATTAATTGCGCAAGCTAGCTGTAACATCTTCCTCCAGATGAAAGGCAAATAGGCATTCTGCTGTAGCAGAAAATCGTGATGTCGTACGTACACTCGTCTTGATTTTTTTAAGAAATAATTTCCGGATCAGAGTTTCTGGCAATGTTAACTGTGATACAGAACACACCTGTGATGCAGGATGAACTTGTTGGAGTCCCAGTGGAAATTTTTGCCATGGATGCTGCTTTCACTTGGGCTCTGTGTATCATAGCATTTTCTTTTGGATTGCACGAGTGATTTAAGTCTTTCAAGCATTATTCACACCCCACTCCATGTATAGCATGCAAGCAGCTGGGTGCTCAAGGGATTTTCTTAAATAAAAATTGTCTTTCATTCAGACATTAGGTATTCAAACAAATGTTGATTCTGGATATGAAAACATACTTTCTGTTAGCCCCAGCAGTTCCTTCCAGTATATTAAAAACAGTAGCATAGTCATATTGAGTGTGGACTTGACACACCAGTGTATATACGAATTTGGTGAAATATGTATCTATCATAACATCAGCTTTATTTTACTTATTTAAATGGGAGAGAAAGGGAATACATCCATCTGCAAACTGCTTTGTGAATAGGGTTGTTGGTTCTGTTTTTATGCATTGTTTGGAGGTTAAACAGACAAAACTTCTGACAGCTGGATGTTTTCTTTCCCTTTCACTTCCTTGTGACAGTCTCTTTGGCTGATCTTTGGCTGATACTCATGCTCCTTCTCCTCACCCTCGGGGCTCCTGCCATTCTTGTGTAGGTTCTGATAACCATTCATTCATTCTTGCCAATTGACTGCATCTGAACTGAAGCATGGGTTCCTGCTTAATTATCATCTTAGCATTTATTTCCATCCTAAGCTTTTCCTTTGTCAATTACAGGGAACACATTTTTCATGTCACGGAAGGGGTAAGGTGGTAAAGAGATAATTTGGACACCCAGGCATTTTTAAAGGTATTTCTTCATTTGCCCACTCAATAGATATTTATTAAACTATCTTTTTACCTGGCCTGGCATAGGTGTTGAGGGTCTAGCAGTGAGCAAGAGAAGTCTCTGCTGCCGGTCATGGAGCTTCTGGGTCTGGGAAGGATCGAGATGGCCAGCTAAGCCCCTCACACATAGCATCTGATTTCATCCTCACAGTGCTCCTTTAAGAAACTAATTTATACACAATTTGAGTAAATTTGTAAGATCCAGTCTTCGAAGGCGGTCCTCATGCTGGACTCTCTGCAGCTTTTCTTCTCTTCGAAACTACCACGTCCCCCCACCCCCCACACACACATTCTTAACCCCTCCCCGTGGTTCTCCAGCCTTTCTTCTCCCTTCCCCCTTCCCCAGTTGATTCCCAAGTAAGTTAGTTTCTCCCAGATTCTGATTTTGTACTTTTTGTCTACTTCCTTTTTACCAGTATGCTGATCTTCATCTGTGTCCTTGGCTCAGGCTCTTGCCCTGTTTCCAGCTTTTCACTGGTGATTTGTTTGAACTTGTGTTACCACCTCTGGCCTCTGGAGCCGAGCGTTTGCTGATAAATGCCAGATTACTGAATTATCTCCCCTTTTCCAGGAGGAGGCTGGTTGAAGCAGCAGAGTTGTGACTCTGTGGGTTTCTAAGAACCAAAAAAGTGCCCCAGCCCCCGGTCTGCCAGGGGGACCCTCAGAATCGGCCCAGGCCCCATCTCCTCTCGTCCTCCTTCTCTCTCCCTCAGCTTCAACCATAGATTACCATGGAAGTGTTTGGCCTTATTTTAGCCAGCATCCAGTTTATTTTCCTAACTCCACTCACATTTCTGGGGTTAGGGTTTCTGGGGTCACAGAACCCATGCTTCTGTCACTGACCCAGAATTTCACAAAGACCTGTGTCTTGGATGATGCCTATTTGTCAAGAGAAGTCTTGGTCTGTTGTTGATTTTCTGGGTGTGGGGGCCTCAGTAGGTGGCAGGTGATAAAAGGCTTTGGATGAGGAGAATCAGATTGAAATCCAAACTCCAACCAGGTAAATGTAGGCAAGTTACCCCCCTTCTGCCCCCCCACATGAAGGTTAATAATACGGTTATGAGGATTAGCTGAGACTCTCTCTGTACGGTGCTTCGCCTGACCTGGAAGAGGTGCTCCTTGAGTATCAGCTGTTGCTGTGAATGTGTGTCACACACACATTTGTTGTGAATCCATGGCTGTCGGACAATGAAGTCAGATCAGAGTTTGTAAGCTTCTAGCTTTGATGCGTAAGACAGGGGGTTGGCTCCTGCCTGCTTTGAAGAGAGGACACAATTCTTCAAGTCACCTCTTATCTGGCTGCAAAAAGAAAGTATTTATTGGAGACTTTGGGGTTAAAAACATTGCTCAGGTCCAAGTAGTCGGCATTACCAGCCTATTTATTGTATTTCTCACATGGCAGGTCAGGCATTCCATACAAAGACTAAATTTTCCACAAGCTGGGTATTTATTATTGAATGCAGTTGGTTTTCTTTTTCTCATTTTTGTTCTGATTAGATCCGTTTGCCATCCCTTGTTTCCTGTCTCTGGTCTGCAGATGGGCTAATAGATGACAGTTTTATGCCAGTGACCTCAGTGATTAAATGCTCTTCAGGTGGTAGAAAAGTATTAACGATTTTCTTGTCTCGTCTTTGAAGCACATCCTGACTCCGAGGGCTGTGTCAAGGGAATGAGGTTAAGAAAGCCTTTGATATGAGTTCCTGTACAATCCAGCGCTAACTTTGTTTTCTTCTCCAGGACCTACAAATAGAACGAGAGAGGAGTTCATATAATATATCTGGTGGCTGCACAGCCCTCATTGTGGTTTGCCTCTTGGGGAAGCTGTATGTGGCGAATGCTGGCGATAGCAGGTGAGCACATTCTCTGTCTGGTTCTTCCTGGTTTCTAATGCCTTCCATAATTTTTATCTGTTTTAAAATAGTGATAGGCAATAAAATAACGCTGCTTGAGATTAGATATTGAGAAAGATGATCCCTCTCCATGTAAATAAAATGCATCTAAGATGAATCATCTGGCTGGTATTAAGAGGTAAAGGCTGTCTCGTACCTGCCCAGAGTAGCAGGTCACGTATAGACCTGTGATTGATCTGTATACCTGGGATTAATACCTGTGGCTAATCTAAGCTGGTAGGATACAAATGTTTTTTGACTTCAGAACCTGATCTGCAGTAAAATCTTAGCAGAGGCATAAAACAGGAGAGGGGAAGGAGGAGAGGGCTTTAAATGAAGGAAGTGTTTGGAAGGGACTGGGGAGGACTCTGTAGCTGCTTCTACTTCTGCCCAGTGACATTGCTCCGTCCCCTCCCAGAATCCCATGAGTTTCTCCTTTTGTGCACAAGCCCTTAAAGGCTCTAGTCTCTTTTCTGGGCTCAGCTGACAGGAATTTTGGCCAAGAGATTTTGGTTAACCCCTAATCTATCCAGCATTATCAGGAATAAGATACATTTGGGTTTTATTTTAAATTACTAATGTGTCCTCACTTAACGCGCAGGGAATTTTAAACTTCTAGATTTTGTGAAAAGTGTTCTAATACGTATTACATACGTGTCTGTCCCCTTTGGTAACAACATAGGTTGGCTTTCTGCTAAAGACCGACTCTTTGTTTTGAAAGCAAAGTACTAGACTCTGTGCAACACGTCCTTAGAGGATGGGTGGTTTCCCTATGCAGCCTACAGTCTTAGGAGGCCCTCGTCCCTCAGTCCCCTGTCTCTGGGTCACGTGCCTCTTTGAGCATCCCTGCTTGCCCTTGGCCCTGCTCCAGGTCTGTCCCCACTGCCTCCCCTTCCCTGCAAACCTCAGGTCATGGCCGAGGACTGACTCCTGGCCGAAGACCAACTCCAGTAGGCAGCAGGGGAGAAATTTAGCTTTGACTTCCATTTGCAAAGCAGGACAGCCTGAGGGAGTCTTCATTCCCTAGAGGGAATCATCCTTTGCTGGTCTTCCCACTGAAGATTCCAGAGAGTAAGGAGTGTGAACTGCCAAGGCAGCAGTATTTGGAGTTTGACAATTGATGGCTTTTGAAGGTCTGTTTTATTTTAATGTGTATGTGGATTTCCATTAAACTCTATAAGCTATCACCATTTCAGCATGATGTTTTGCTGGGTAAATGGAAGTGTCTGTAAGATACCATGTTTCTCCCGTGGCTTCTATTCCTCAATGTCTTGTCAGAGTCCCAGCAGGAGACAGACACCTACTCAGGTGGGTCAACTGAATGAAGCAGTAAAAGGAACCCCGCACAGGGGTCGGGCTGGGGGTGGGGCACTGGGGCTCAGAAAGACTTTTACACCTGAGGCCTGCAAGACCCAGAGAGGACTTGCTCCAGCAGAGCCCAGGAGAGTGGGGTCACGTGTGAGGGCCCCTGGGCAGGAGATACAGGAGAAAAGGGAAGAAATACTTTGACTTCTTTCTCTTCCATCCCCCACCTCCACCCTCGCCTCTTGCCAGGGCTGCCCCGTGGATGATCCCAGGTGGGAGCCAGGTGACAGGGAGCCCACGGAGTACTGGTCACGGAGGTCAGCCAGCTAGGGCATGCACACAGACCAGGGCGGCATCTCTTGGGGGGTGGGGTGGGGTGGGGGGCAGCTGCAAGCAGCACCCCTGCTGTCTCCCCTTCCCTTCTCCCTGCCAGGGTTTGAGCTTCTTGCACATAGGAATCTTCCATCTCCAGGGGCCTTTTAAGACTCACACTGAGGAGCCGGCCTTTGGGCCTGTTTTTCTGTTCCGGATCTTGCATTAGTTTGGAGACAGATGAGCAGGTAAGGAGGTGATGCCCTTCTCTTCTGAGTGAGACTGAATCAGCAATTCAGCCGTTGCACTCATATCCACCCTTGGCTTTATGTCTAGTTCCATGCCCTTTGCAATGAGTTTGCTTTTCTAGCCCTTCCATGACTAGGGAGGTGACAGAGTGTCTTTCTCCCTGGGAACAGGCCCGCTCCTCATCTCAGGAAGCACCTCTCACCAGATGATCCCCAGACTGAGAAGAGAACCCAAACTTCTGGGCCTGGAGTATCTTCATGTTGGGTTATCCTCTTCATAGATACAGCTGCTCCCTGGGGCCTTCTCATTTTTGAATCTTGTTTTCTTCAAAGCTCCTAGCTCTTTAACAGAGCTACTTACCCAGCCAGGCCTTCTGTCCTCCTTCCCGGAAGCTCCAGTGCCCTGTCCAGGATCTGCCAGTCTCCAGGACTCATCTTCTGGACTCTTGTCCCCACCCTTCCCCCACCCCACCCCTTGTGTTTAAAATGCCAATTTCTAGATCAGATCTTGAACTCCACATCTGTAAAAACAGTGGTGGTGGACTAAATAATCCCTAAAGTTTCTGGCATTCCATGTATATTACCCCATGAGGAATGACACTTTTGGAAGATAAAGTGATGCCATACTTGTTGATTTTCAGTAATTTTTATTCTTAGAGTCAGTTTTTGAAATCTCAGTATAACACAGGTTCCCATGTTTCTAAATGTTCGTAAAAGTATATTTTACAGGTTCCCAATAGTTTGAAAAGCCTGATAGTTACTTTTATCCTCATTAAAGCTATAAAGCATGCGTGCGTGCGTACACACACACACACAAATTATCCTATGATAAAATAGCATCTTTAGAAACCTAATAAGCTAAATTACATGTGCAGTGCTTAGGCTCCAGTATCTAGGTATGAATTTGGGGTTTTATGGCTGATCGGTTGGATTTGCTGTTCATGTATGGGTCATATGTCATAGAAATCTAAGAGCTGTATGAATTGTTATTTGTGTTCACCATCTGGAGGATAACCTATAGGACATATATTCATTAGGGTGCTATTTTTAGCTCTTGTAAGAACAACAGATATTCACTATCTTCTTCTGTAAGATCATTGCCTAGTTTATGTGCCAATAATATAGGTATTTGAATTTACAAAAATAGTCAGTTATTCCCCAGAATCAACAACTGAGTGAACTTTGATCAGATTTACATAAATGTGGGTCCATCATTACTTCTGAGCAAGTAGTCATGAATCCAAGGGCTGAATTTAAACAGATGATTAGAGTTGACAGAGGTCTGTAGCAGTAGGGCCCTGATTAATTGCTATTTTTTCTTCTTTATTGCCAGACATTGGCTGTTGTATATTTACTTTAAATCTTGACAGGTTTTTTTTTTGTTTTTTTTTAATGTTTTATTTATTTTTGAGACAGAGACAGAGCATGAACGGGGGAGGGTCAGAGAGAGAGGGAGACACAGAATCCAAAGCAGGCTCCAGGCTCTGAGCTGTCAGCACAGAGCCCGACGCAGGGCTCGAACTCACGGACCGTGAGATCATGACCTGAGCCGAAGCTGGACGCTTAACCAACTGAGCCACCCAGGCGCCCCAAACTTGACAGTTTTGAGAGTGAAAACAAATCTTTGTCATAGGTTCACTACCCCATTGTTATTCACACTCAGGGAAGGAGAAGCATTGCACTGGTTTGATGCGGAAGCTACTGGTGGTCAGGAACTATTTTCTGAGCCACTTAGCAAACTGTGAACCATTTGATTCCCCATCAGGCACATGTATGTTGGCAGTTTTTTTCAGGAGGGGCTGCCTCCTGTTGTTGGTGGCTTAGTGGTTTTTGAGTCACTGACTCCCCTCGGTGTAGTATGATGCACCTCGGTCTACAGTGATGCCAGGTGACTAGTGCAGAGTTTGGGACAGACTTGCCTTTCTTTCCTCAGCGACTGGTGCACAGCCTGGAACAGATCTGCCCTTCTCCCCTCAGCCGAGGTAACTAGCGGTAGAGGAACACGCAAGAACTACTTGATGCGTGACAGTTGCTTAATTTTTCCTAGGCAAAGGCAGCCGACTAAACACCTAGGGGATCATAAGGGACTAGGAAAGAAGCAGATGGTGGGCGGGCTTCTTCTTCTAGCAAAAAAGAACTGGTCGCGTGCAAATGTCATGCAAAGCAATATGCAAGCTATCACCCATTGTGTTTGAGTCATTGGCTCCTTAGGGCTCGGAGGGATTCTTCAGTTTGAGAAGATGCTCTGACTTCATTTTAGAAGATGATTTCATTTTATTTCTATGGAGCTAAGGCACTAAGGAGGCAAAGCCGGTGCCACTTATTTGAAACAACGTCTGAAGGTTTGGCAGTCTCAGTGGCAACTGAGACTAGGTGAACTCATTCAGATGAAAGAACATCGTTGAAGACTTGTTAACTTGATGATTCCACTCTTGCCAAATTTATAGTAATAGGACAAGAAGACATAAGTGCTAGGCACATGTTAAATACCGTAACATAATAAAGAATTATATCCAATTCTCTCAGTAATTTAGTGACAAGCAGGCATTGTTAATGTCAGATAGGTATACTGAGGCACAGCAAAGTGATTTCCCCCAGCTGCTAAGAAGCAGGGCTGCTCTCAAGCTCAAGGCTGGAAGTCAGAGTGCGACATATATATGTGTGTGCCATATCTATCTATCTATCTATCTATCTATCTATCTATCTATCTATCTATCTATCGTAGGCCCCACACCCAGCATGGAGCCCAGTGTGGGGCTTGAACTCATGACCCTGAGATCAAGGGTTGGACATTTAACTGACTGAGCCATCCAGGCGCCCCCAGTGTCATGTGCTTACTGCCTGTATCTTGGGATTTCCCATCTGTGCTAAGACTTACAGGGTTTTTTTGTTTGTTTGTTTTTAGAGACATTTTCATGTCTCTAAAATCAAGAGTTTCTAATTAACTTTTTTTTCTTTCCTACTTGTATGTAAAATGATGGCATACATTATAATCAGTGGCATCTTTGATTTCACCTGAAATGGTTTATGGAGTGTAAACCTTTGAGGGGATGGCTGCACTTAAAATCTATTTTAAATACATTGCAGTAGTGAAGC